AATCGTGTGTGTAACTGTAATTTTGGGCGGGCGCCATTGTAACTGTATCTTTCTTCTTGCACTTCGTCTTTCCCGCCCTCCTTCTCTTTCTTTTGTTGCGCTTTTGGTAGCCGCGGTCTGCATGATCGGATCGATGCGTGGAGAGCGGCTACGTCCCCCACGCCACGATTAGACCATGCAGACGCAGGCAATTTCCTCCCCCTTCCCTTCTTCTAAGTCCTTGTAATTCCGTGTTCTTCCCGCATGCATGTACGCTATAAATTCCGGCTGCGCGATTAGTTAGCTCTTAACCAGCTATTGGAAGCTCGGGGTTGCGTGATCAGGAAGGGTCGGCACACGAGCGAAGTAAGAGGTGAGTAGAGCAGGAGTCGGGCGACCTGACGAGCTGGTGCCAAACGCACGGGGTTGACGAGGGCCACCACGGACTGTGGGCGCGGGCGAACCAGACAGGTGCGGGAGGACTAAGCGGGGTGACGGCTTCGTGGGTTGGTGCGCGACGACGGACTGTCCGCATCGGAGAAGAAGAGAGAGAGAGAGAGAGAGAGAGAGAGAGAGAGAGAGAGAGAGAGAGAGAGAGAGAGAGAGTTGAGGTTGAGATATGTGCAGTTGCTGTTTCTTTTGTTTCTTCTTCCCCCTGCCTCGTGTATATAAGTTTTGAATACGGCCCCGGTCGATCCGCCCGTTTTTGTTTTCCTTTCTGTTTTTCGAAACCCGGACTTGGATTTTTGTGCTCACACTTGTTTTTGCGATTCACATGGATGTCGAGTTCCGGTTGTTTTTTATCTCGGTCCTCCCCTTTGAGGCCTCGTGTGTATGATTACTGCGGATACGAATGTATGGAGGCTATACTTGCTTGTTTACCTTTTGCGGGAAATCTCTTGTCCTTTCTTTTGTCCGTCGTAGTCTATGTACCCGTGCATAAACTAGAATTTTTGCGCAAGTGATGATTATGCTCGTGTGTTTGCTATTCCTTGGATGGAGCTGTTTTGTGATCATTGCATCTTGCATAACTCAGAACATCACGAAGTGATTAGGCGGTCAGATATCGGGCTCGGTGAACGCCGCGCGAGGACACATGTAAAACGCGATCTGAGTTGCGCACTTACACGTATCCTCGGGCGTCGACTCATCGGGGCCCTCAATCGGTCCGATTGAGAGTGGCCATCTTGAAATCCGCAACGGCGCAATCGTCCTGCACGAGCACGCGTAAGTCCGACGCCATTCGCGCGGCCTGCACGTGCTCACACACGGTGACCGCGATCGCCACGGACCCATCCTTAGGTAGCCCATAATACCGAAATGAGACGATGACGCGATCCTGGAATTCTGACTTGTCCTACGACCCGGATTATTTCACCCCTTGGATAAACGAGATCCTAGGGCAGCGATATCCCTGCCATACCATTATGTCCTCGGGAATTCCACTGCACCACCTCTAGCGACCCCCGGTGCTCTGATTTCCCTTTCCCCGACCATACCTACTACTTCATCCACCCGGGATTTGTCGTCATCACCACCAGTTTCCCTCCCTTTCGCCTTCTTCTTCCGTACCATCAACTCAGCATCGTTTTATGGCCGGCCATAGCCCCGTATTGGCCCAGCACACCCTGCGGGAACTGACGACGGCGCGGCGACCAAAGAACCCCGGAGTTCCGAAGGCCTAGCCCGCACTTGCGACGACCAGCGCCACGTGGCAACTCCCGATAGACGAAGTCATCGGAACCCCACCTACCCCGAAGGGACCAACCCTCGAACCGCCGTCCCCGAAACCAATGGCTCGCTCGGTCCTGAGCGAACCACGCTTGTAACCCGAAAACGCCCTCTTCGCCAAATTGCACTCGTGCCCCCGAAAGACCCTGTCACAGGAGATCTCAGTTCTGACCTGGGACTCCACTTTCTCCAAAAATCCTTGGCACACCCCTTTTCGCACTTCCAGGCCCACATCTTATTCGCTGGGCGTGAGGTTGGGCGTCACATGGTCCAAGCCCAAAGCTTGTTTTGTTTTTTGGGGCCTTTTTTTTGTTTTTGTTCTGTGATTCTGACATGGTGCTCCCCGTGTTCCTCGTTCTGCCCAAGTGCCCTCACTGAGGGCAGTACTCCAAAAAGTGTATCCAACTGCAATCACGGCCAAAGCATGTTTTGTTTTTTGGGGCTTTTCTTTTTGTTTTGTTCTTTATCTGTGATTCTTTTTTTTTTTTCTTCTCTTTTTTTATAGAAATAGCATCATTCCATTATAATAGCAGAAGGAGGCCGGGAATTTCTCCACATCTCAACCCGGAATGAAGAGTCAAGCCTCAAAGAGGCTAACTGGAAACCGGGACCAGTGTCTCTTACTCTGATCAACAGTCATGCTATTTCTGAAAAGAAAAAGGGGGAAAATCAGACAATTAAACCTGCCCAAAAACACAAAGGAACAAGCTAACAAACTAACTCGCAATCCATGATCGTACCAGCATTCATATCCGGGAGCAATACCCGGCTTCGCTTCCTGAGAGTCCATCTGCGACTCCCCTGAATTCTACTGAGATCGGTTAATAGAAGGCCTGTTACCTAACCCGGAGCGCTCAACCATTCTGTATTTATCACTTAATATTCAGGTAACCTTCTTAAGTTATCTGTGATTCTGACAGTGGAGCTCCCGGTGTTCCTCGTTCTGCCGAAGTGCCCTCACTGAGGGCAGTACTCCAAAAAGTATATCCAACTGCAATCACGGCCAAAGCATGTTTTGTTTTTTTG